TGTCTTTGGCAACTGACGACCGCATTTCTGAGATAGTTGTTGCCGCAGTGGGGTGGGAAATGGGATAAACATCTATCTATTTCGAATGCGCGTCAAATAGCAGATTAAAAATTGCACAATTACTCTGTCCAAAATCGTCCGTATGGATGCGTTGCCAAGGCTTTTCAGGTCAGCACCAAGAATGTACCGGTCCGGGAGGTTTATTAGACTGCTCCTGCTGACACAGACCACATGTTTTAGATAGTTTTCTATATCTGAATCTGGGGCAAACCACCAGCAATAACCGCGTGCCAAGGCTTTCTTTCGGAGTGCGCCTGGATGTGTGTTGTGGAGTTAAGATGAACTGCCATGCCTTTCGCGGTAAATTAAATAGGATCCCCAAAACAAGCTGCCATCGTAAAGGCTCAATTCATTTTTCCGTTGTCCGTAAGGCCTAAGCTCGACGGGGACTATAGTAAGGCAGCCAACTATTTTAAACCGTACTACAGAAGGTAGCGTTGGGTCACGATCAGTCCACTGACGTATTGCGTCACATGCCAACGGAGTGGTGAATAGTTGTTGCATTAGATGTACTAGCTCTACTGGTTCCTCCACTAGTTCTTCTGTGGTCGTACGTGGTTATCTGCTTAAGCCTCTGCTGTAAGTTTGTTCAACCCAGGAATAAAGGCGATTCGATATGTATATGCATTTAAGATTAATGCCCAATGTTGCATTCTCGGTGGAAATATCTGCACGATTCCATTTGACTCGTTATGCTTGGATATCACTTATTCGTATTTTGCTTGTATTTCGATATAGTTGTCCCAAATCTACTAATGAAACCACTTGACGCCAAATATAACAGATAGCGCTTCTTTATCCAACTGGAAATAAATCATTTCGGCAGTTTTCAATGTTCGTTAGGTAAACGCACTCGGGTGAATGAGGCCCTTCGACACTATGTGACAGAAAAGTGCTCCGACTCCGTATGGAGAGGCGTCACACTGCACGATTAACGGTTTTCCAATATCGTCGTGGGCCAAAACAGGTGCGGAGGTAAGACACTTTTGTCACAAGCAAAAACAGATTGCCGCTTTATTGTCCACATCCACGTTATGATTTTTGTAGCAGTTCGTTCAATTAGGCAAGAATAGATGAGGCATCCGGTAGGAAAAGAGCTACTGTGAAAACATTCCTAGGAATGGCCGAAATCCACCACTACTCTTGGACTGAGCTGCTTGCCCAATGGGCGCTATTTTATCTTTCAGGATATGCAAACCGGTTTTGTCCATGTTGCATAATCAGATAAAATCCCAGACCAATTGAGGTGGCATGTAAGCTGTTAAGGCGACTACTTATTCTTTGTACGTAGTATGGGAATTTATTAGGTTTTGTGTAAATTCGTTGCAGTTAGACACAGGCGGACAGCCACCACATATCCAGGAAAGCGCTAGACGGACGTTTCTTCCTATTGGGACTCGTCAGTAGAGCGCACCCAATGAATCCTGCGGATTCGAACGCACGACCTTACTCTTGAGAATCAGCGACAAATGTTACTGAGCCATGGGCGACGGCAGCGGACCGCCATGACTGCTATCTAAATGCGATATAACGCGGCTCAACCCCACATTGCATTGCAGTCCACAGTTGTCGGTGTGTCTGTGAGTTATGCTTTCCTGAGTAAAGAAGAGAAGGGAGTCGCGTGAATAAGAGTGAAGTGAGTTCTGGCAACAACATATCTTTTTTCCAATACACCACTTCAGTGATTGCAATGTACGTAGCACATTTCACGCAAACTTCTCATCAACGCACTTACGTATCGGCCCCCACTTCAAATAACATTGTTTCATTGAAATTTAATCGCAGAATTGTTTTTATGTATGGCATCGTCAGACACCTTGAAACTACTCTTTTAAACAGCGGTTTCGAGTCGCGTGCTCTTATTTCATTAAGGAGGCTGTTCTAGATCTCAGTGTATCTGTTAGGGTAGAATTTGCTTCGGACATAAGTTTCGTTTTAAACACCGAGAGTTTGTTCTTGTTATTTCTAATTGCGTAACCAGATTCTTTTTTGAAGTGAATATTGCTATTTGGCGCGGCAACGTGAGTTCAGCCTGTTCTCCTTGGAGTCTTCGATTCTCGCCAATAATGGCATGCCTCAACGTACGCACATTGTTACAGCTCGTTCCAGACTTAGAAGGCGTGCGCGCGTGACTATATGTCATTGAGGTGTACGTACACAAAAACTGTAGCATTGACTAGGTAAAAGGTGATTTTTATCATCAATTCAACGAGCTTCTTCGTTTCAGAAAATGTGTAAAAAAGTTTGATACTTGCTACTGGTCTGAACGTCCAAGTAAGAAATTGTCCTCTGATGAGCATCAGCAGCGTGGCCACCATGGGATAGGCACCCGTAATCATAAAGGCAAGTGGTTGCTGCACCTATGCGAAGATGCTCTTCTCCTTCACAAAAACACTAACTTTTGATACATCACTCGCAGAAGAGTATCATGACGTCTACCAGTCTCGGAACATTCATGGACACAAATCGACCACATCGTGATCATTTACCGCTGAAGAGGCTGCGTCTAAAACTGTTGTTCGATTTGAGGCCCCATCTTAGACTCTACGCTATCTTGTGTGCTAACCATCAAATGTGTTTCAGCGGCTGTCCACAACGTCGCAGTGGGAATAAACACCAGTCAACTGGCGAAATCAGGTGTTTTGAAGACGTATTAAATTACTCTGTCATCCGGGATGCCTAAGCGTCCACGGATCACCATTGAGGCTAAGTGGTCACACATTCGCTAGATGTTTCTATGAACAGTCATGCCTTCATGTTGCAACGCAAATTATCAACCTTCACATTAGGTCCCAACACAGTCTCTGGAACTTCTACATGCATTCTGAAATACACAGGCTGGAAGCAAACCGAATGAGTTTTGCAAAAATCTTAGGGTTGATATTGCGTTCTAACTTGAAGAGAGACCGCGAATCCTGATGCTGTTGTCGTTCTTCGGAGATGGAAGTGGCCGCAGCCGTTAGTAACCAACAAACGTCATTCCATTTGATACGAGAAACGGGCAGCATATACCGTGTTTGTGAGACCGTCATCATTGTTCACGTTACCTGCAGATGGAAAACTCCTCATCTGTTTAGCTGCAAGGAACTGCCGAGAAGAAGAATAAAATTACAGGTACGCTGGCTGATTCCCTATTAATGGATGGATATTGTTCCGGAGAGCTAACAGCCAGGTTATGGTGTTGCAGAAATTGAGTGGTATATTATGTCTGGCGAATGAGTTCGTGATTGGACAAGGAGGCTATGCCTAAGGGTGAAGATCAACGGAACTCTCGATCCAAACGCCATTGAGGCCGGCTCTTAGCCTTTTCATTAATTGTATCCAACCAAACGTGCTCATCATCCTTAGGATTCCAACCAGGCAGTCCGGATGCATCAACTGACGCCAAATTCGAAGTGAGAGTTTCCATTGCTCTAGATCAAATCACATTTGGGACTCGCCTCCTCCTCTTCTAATCACACGCCAGGTGCGCAAACAACACTGGTCGCGGGAGTCAGTGTGCTGGCTGGCGCGACTCGTGGCCTGGCCATCGGAGCCTAGTGCGTGTTATAATGGTGCTGATTGGTTCATTAGCACTTCCTGCACCAAATACGCGACGACGAACACTTTCATTGCTCACGCGGTGCTCCCGCCATACTTGAGCAAAGCTGCGAAGACAGAGATGATCGAACTTGACTAGCCTAATTATGTCTGTCGAGCTGATGGACCAGGTTTCATAATCGTATCAGTAAACTGAACGAAAGGCTGCGTGATAAACTCTGCGCTTCATGACCAGCGTAATGAGAAAAGCACCTTGAGCTTTTACTATATTGTCCGTAATCTCATCTTCTATCACACAGGAGTTAAAATAGCAGGCTAGGTATTGAATTCCTGAAGGACTTCTAGCTGACAACTATCAAGCGTCAGCACAGGGGTGGGTCCTTGTCAAGCATGTAGAAGAACTTTATATTTGGATGAAACAAAGCATATCCCAAAACGATTGACAGGCAGGGCCAAGCGGGCCAGTGTAGCTTGGCATATTTGGGCGTAGACACATATGCGAGCAATGTCCTCCGCATAATGTAATCCAAGAAGTCGCTCAACAGGAAGTAGCTCCATATCTTCTATATCGCGTCCAGGGAACGCTGTGTCTATGACTTTGTCAACTGCGAAGTTACGTAGCAAAGGTGACAGCTGGCAACCTCGTCTAACAACGCTGGTGATATTGAAAGGTGGCGACAGTTTGCCATAAACCCACACTCTGCGCAAACTGTGCGCGCACAGCGCTTTGATAATGTTTACGTATTTATCAGGCACACCTTTCCTCAGCAGACGGTCCCAAACTTAACAATGATTGACTGAGTTGAAGGCACCATTTATGTCGAGAAACACGACAACAGTGGGTCGTCAATAAACATGGCGGTGCTCCAACATTTGACGCAAGGTGAACATGGGTCGTTGCAGCCTCGATTTGGACGACACCCGGCTTGCTGTCTGCGGATCTGACTTTCACGAGCGCCACTCAGTGTGTGGCGAACGACAGAGGTAAGCAATTTAGAGACAATTGTGATTAGACTGATCCGAATATGGTTGCAGCAATCCGAACGGGATTCTCCCTTGTAAATCGGGACAGGGATGGAACGACTTCAGTGTGTTGGGACAGTTTCCTGCTCCCAAAGTTCCAATAGTAACTCGTGTAAATCATCTACAAGGTCAGGTCCCCTGAAGTTGAACAGGGCTGTGGGAAGTCTATGTGCCCCTGCGGCCTTGTGCAATTCAAACTGTTTGATCTCGCCTTCGACTTCTAAGGAGACAGCTCATGGGGAAGGGCACTCAATGCCCGAAAGGGAAAGCGCTAACTTAAATTTGTTAAACTGCCTTACAAAGTGTTTGACTCACTGCTCCAAGCGATTTGACAAGCTATGTTTCGGCTGTCTGCTCTCCTCGTATATTGTATCATTAACACCAAGTTTAAAATGACTTTATGTACAGGTAGCCCGGGTTGATCGTTCTTGGGTTCAATTGTTCGCCGAGCTTCGTAATTGGTATGCAGACGTTTCATCACCATGCGAGGTGACTTCCTCAGTGCGCTGTAGGGTCAAACGTAATCCGCTGGTTTGGCCGTCGATTTGTGATTGATTAGCAAGTGACTTTTGAATTGGCTCTCTCAATCTGTGCCCCGTGACCATTCGTCTACCCAGCTTCTCTGGTGAATATGGACGTTCCATAGGATGGTTTTGTCCCGGTTGTTGCTGCTGTGTTATTAACGGGTCTGTTAACTGCTTTCGACGGTTTTTAAGTTGTTTTAATTCTCTCCGTCTTATCGTTTCGTAAACCGGGTCAATCTCGACGTGCATGTTTATCGAGTGCTTCGTCGAGTACCATGCCTCGAGGAACTCTCTTCCTTTTTGTGTCTCTCCTTGTGCTAGGATTTCTGCGTTGTTCCAGTCGAAGTGATGTCCTTCTTCGTCTGTATGTATTGAAACAAGTGAGAGAGCATAATGGTTCTTACAAGCTCTTTTATGCTCTTGTATTCTTGTAGACAGTTGTCTTCCTGTCTGACCCACATAGTTCTTATCGCAATCTTGACACCGTATCTTGTACACAACATTTCGTCTTTCATGTGCTTTAGGTCTAGCTTTGGGTTTCGACAGGGTTCTTCTCAATGTGGCGGTTGGTTTGTGAGCCACTGTAAGACCGTGCTGTTTGAATAATCTTGCTGTCATCTCGGAGATGTTCTTTACATAAGGTAGAACGATTCGCTTTGTTGTCGTTTGTGCAGGCGGAGAGGTCGTAGCTTTGTTGTTTAGACATCGCCGGACAAAGCTGCGTGGATATCCATTTAGTTGGAATGATTTGAATAAGTATAGCTCTTCTTTCTTCTTCGCCTCAAGAGTGCTGCAATGTGTTTCAATTCTACGAAAGAGAGTCCGCACGCAGCTTATTTTGTGACATTTCGGGTGATTACTGTAGTAGTTTAGAATCTGATCGGTGTGTGTTCCTTTCCTGTAAACCGATGTTTGCAACGCTCCATCAATCGTCCTGGTGACTAACACATCCAAAAATGGGAGTTGGTCTTTTATCTCCGATTCCATCGTAAAATGGATGTCCTCCATGGTGTTATTGAGTAACTCGTATGCAACCGCTACTTGACTACGTTTTAGTATCACGAATGTATCATCGACGTATCGGATCCACAACTTTGGGCTGATTATCGGCAGTACATCCTCTTCAAGTTTCTGCATTACTATTTCTGCAACGAGTCCTGACACAGGGGATCCCATTGGGGCTCCTTTCACCTGCTCATAGATCTGTCCATCAAAGGCGAAGTAGGTCGCGAGGCATAGATCAAGTAGCTTGCACAGATTTCCAGTCGTCAGCTTTCCGATTGTTTTTTCACTCTGGTCCAGCCGTTCGATGATTGCTTGCTTTGCGGTCTGTAAGTTGACAGACGTAAAGAGTGCGGTCACGTCGAACGATACCATTATCTCGTCATGATTTACTCTTATATCTTTGATCCTCTCCAGAAATTGTTGTGCGCTATGTATAGAGTGCTGTGATCCAGTTGTTAGGTGCTTGAGACGTCTCCACAACTCTCTTGCTAGGTTGTACGTAGGTGTACCTGGGAGCGATACGATCGGTCTTAATGGTGCACCGTCTTTATGTATTTTTGGAAGCCCGTAGAATTGCGCTATGTTCGGATCGCGGGCCATCATTCGGGCACGATCTTCCTTTGTGATTTGATTCCGTTCCTGGAGTAATTTCAACGTTCTGTTTATTTTGTTTTTCATTTGGGTAGTTGGATTGTTTTCGATGCGGCGATAGGTTGTTGTATCGCTCAGAAGCTGTTTCGCTTTTTCGACATAATCTGTTTTATTCAGTACAACCGTCACGTGCCCCTTGTCTGCAGGTAAAATGACAATGGATTCATCAGCTTTCAAAGCCTTTATTGCATCCATCTCCTGTTGAGATAGAGAAGTGTGTTGCTTGTTACGTGCTACAACTGGAATAATTGTAGCTCTCAACTGTTTTTGCGTATAGTCGTCAAGCCCACTGGATTTGATTGCACTTTCGAATCCGGACAGGAAGTCCATAGTTGTAGCATCCTTGAAATTGTAATTGAGTCCTTTTGTGAGGACTCGCTTTTCTGCTTCGGATAGTGGTCTATTGGGTAGATTTCGGATCCAGTCATTGTAATTAGTTTCGTTATTTGCGTTGGTCAACTTAAAAAACATTCTTTAATGCCTCTTGTTTTCTTCTCCTAGCATTCTCCACTCTACGCTCTATTGATAAGCTGAGCTGTTCTGTTAACTGTTGTCCAATAACGAAGGACATCACTTCGACTGGAACAACGCAGAAATCCTAGCACAAGGAGAGACACAAAAAGGAAGAGAGTTCCTCGAGGCATGGTACTCGACGAAGCACTCGATAAACATGCACGTCGAGATTGACCCGGTTTACGAAACGATAAGACGGAGAGAATTAAAACAACTTAAAAACCGTCGAAAGCAGTTAACAGACCCGTTAATAACACAGCAGCAACAACCGGGACAAAACCATCCTATGGAACGTCCATATTCACCAGAGAAGCTGGGTAGACGAATGGTCACGGGGCACAGATTGAGAGAGCCAATTCAAAAGTCACTTGCTAATCAATCACAAATCGACGGCCAAACCAGCGGATTACGTTTGACCCTACAGCGCACTGAGGAAGTCACCTCGCATGGTGATGAAACGTCTGCATACCAATTACGAAGCTCGGCGAACAATTGAACCCAAGAATTAACACCAAGTCTCCTGCTGCCTATTTCCCGTATCAGAAGGTACAACTTAGGATGCTTACCAACGGCAGCGGCTGCTTCAATTTGGGATGCACGATGACACCACTAGGCTTCAAGCTCTCTCTTCGGGCTAGCACGCAGTTTTGCCTTGAAATTTTTGCGTGTCTCATGGTATTAGCTTCTAGCCTGATGACATAGGCGAGCATTCATAAGTTCCAGAGACTTTGTAGAGA